TACCCACACAAAATACTTACTAGTTACAAAGAGTAAAAGAATAACTTTTCAAAGGGGAAGCCCAGGAGCTACCACCTTAAATAAATCAGCAGAGGGAACTCCATCAACAAGGGGATAAATTGAAATTACGTGCCACCCGGCAGGGTGCAAGGAGACGCATGCAGCACGGTGTCCGTGCTCGTCCCTCGGAGAAGCCTAGGCTGAGTCTAATCATGAAGAGATGCAAGACAACCCCAAACTGAGTAACATTCCACAGAATAACTGACCTATAATATTCAAAATTGCCAAAGTCCTAAAGGTCAAAGAAAGACTGAGGGAGTGTTCCGGACTGACAGTACGTGACACCTAAATGCAATCTGTGATTCTGAATGGGACCCTTTTGCTACAGAGGACAATAGTGGGGACAGTGAGCCAAGAGTGAATGGTGCGTGAGGATCACCTGGTCGTCATCTGTTTGCTTTAATTCTTCGATTCTCAGACTGTCCTGGAGTACGTAGGGGGATCTTGTCGTTTGAAGGCAATCCACACACTCAGGCGTTTGGGGGTGATGGACCATGGTTGGACACTTTCTCTCAAATGATTCACTAGAAAATGCTCTTTGTACTGTTCCAACGTTTCTCTAAGTTTTATGACTGTTTCAAGCTTTTACAGTATTTTTAAATTTAAAATATATATTCATAGCATGCAATGGAATAAAGTAGTATGGTTTAACTCTGTCTCATATCAGAGAGGAGCTGGGATCAGTGCAGAGTTTTGGAGGATGCAGAGGAGCTGCCTACCAACCTAGACAGTAATGTCTCGCATTTCTGTAGTTCTTCTCAACACACGAAACATTTTTACCTACGTCATCTTACCTAACTCCTGTGACAACCTCGGGTGACTATTACCTTCATCCTCATTTTACAGATGGGAAAACCAAGCTCAGAGACAATGAGTTACAATTCAAGCCATGGAGACGCTAGGCTTCAAAACCAGGTCTTTCTGACTCTAGTCCTGTTCTTTATGTATTCACTTTTTATACATTTTCTGACCAATTAGTGAATGCTGCTGCCACCGTGGCACACAAGGTAGACATAGTGCCTTCTCCCATGGAGGGTACAGATGGCTTTAGGTCTGCGAAAAGTCTGAATCCAGGTTTGCTAGGCATAAAATCCCAGCTCCCAACCTCTATTTCTTAGCCAATTGAAAAATCCCATGCAACAATTCTGTCAAAGTGCATTTTTAGCATTCCTTTGTAACAATCTCATTTTATGTGCAGCATCCTGCAGCTTGGCTGCATGCTCCACTGGCTTTAGGTTCACACACGGAGCCAGGGAAGGGCCAAAGCCCAACTGGGGCACCCGAGGACCGTGCACGGGGAAAATGCAAATGCTCTCTGGAAAATCCAATTTACTCCACTTTTCACCCATTTGGAAAATGTCCTTCTGACCACAAAACACAAACTACACTGCACTGAACTCCCCGGACAGAGTGCTCACCAATTGCTGAGGACTTCTTGGAAAAACCTAGCGAATACCAGCAGATCACTGATTATATAGACACTTCCTATACCGCACTCTACATGGGTTTTCCTCATTGTCATCTAACACCTCACAGGAAGTCTGCAGGAGATATTTCTCAGCTGCTGGGGAATAGGTGCGGACAAGTTGCCCAGTAGGCGGAAGGGCCAGAATTTGAACCCAGGCTCTGTGGCTGGCGTTATTCATTCTCATTTATCTACTCAAATTGCCTTTCTCCTCCACTAAGAAAACATATGAGTTAACTCAGTTAAAATCCAGAAGGTTAATCTAGCAATTGTAGGTACGTGAGTGGTCTCACTGGAAATTTTTCTGTTTCCCCCTAGAGCTTTTAAGCTAAGTGTAAATTGACTATGTGCTCAGGAATTTACCAGCTCAGACAGACTGAAACAATTAGACAGGAGGCCAAGTAACAGTGAGAGAGGGAGACAGACCCCGGGCTTGCGGGCCGACATTCCTTTTAAAAGCTTCCCTCCACATCCTTTCTCAACTGGCTGAAACCCTAGAGGTTCGCCTGGCTAACCCACTTCCTCTCAGAAGTGTCTGTCCCCCGAGGGAGGCTGGGATTTGTAGTCCTGAAATCAGCCGGCCTTTCATAATCCCTTCGCGGGACTCCCTGGCTGAAGGCGCGCAGTGTCAATTTCGGTAGCTGTCTACGTGATGAAATGCCCTGTGTGCTTTTGCAGAACACACGTTCCTTCCTGGATAAGAGTAAAGCCTGTGCATGCTCGCCACAACCTAGTCCCCACCCGTTCGTTCCTCACTGCCTCTCCTCCCCCGGTTCCCTGGACACAAGCATCGTCTCAACGGCCGCCTCCTGCGTGTGTTCTGGGCATAAGCCCAGCAGAGCTGTTGATGGCGCAGGAACCTCTGAGAGGCAGACCCCCAGCGAGGCGTGGGACAAACGCCAGGCTCAAGGACTGCTTCCCCAAAGGGTACCTTTTCAATAGTGTTTTTTAACATGTTTTTTATTTCAAAATATTAAGGGTGTACAAATGTTTTTGGTTATATGGAACACTTTTGTAATGCTCAAGTCATGGCTATAAGTGTGCTCATCACCCAAATAGTGTTCATTGTACCCATTAGGTAGGTTTTCCCCCTCCCCTACTCCCCCCTCCTCCCTGCTTCATTTCCACTGAGTTTTACTTCCCTCGGTGCACATGTGTGCTCATCGCTTAGTTCCAATTTAATAGTGAGTACATGTGGCATTTGTTTGTCCATTCTTGAGATACTTCACTTAAGAGAATGGTCTCCATCCGGTTCCATCCAAATTGTTGCAAAAGGCATTAATTCATCCTTTTTTATGGCTGAATAGTACTCCATGGTATACATATACCACATCTTATTAATTCAGCCATGAATCGATGGGCACTTGGGCTGATTCCACATCTTTACAATTGTGAATTGTGCTGCAATAAACATTAGAGTGCAGGTGCCTTTTTTTTTTTTTTTGAGACAGAGTCTCACTGTGTTGCCCGGGCTAGAGTGCTGTGGCGTCAGCCTAGCTCACAGCAACCTCAGACTCCTGGGCTCAAGCAATCCTTCTGCCTCAGCCTCCCAAGTAGCTGGGACTACAGGCATGCACCACCACGCCCGGCTAATTTTTTCTATATATTTTTAGTTGTCCGATTAATTTCTTTCTATTTTTAGTAGAGACGGGGTCTCGCTCTTGCTCAGGCTGGTCTTGAACTCTTGAGCTCAAATAATCCACCCGCCTCGGCCTCCCAGAACGCTAGGATTACAGGCGTGAGCCACCGCACCCGGCCCAGGTGTCTTTTTGATAAAAAGACTTCTTTTCCTTTGGGTAGATACCCAGTAGTGGGATTGCTGGATCAAACGGGAGGTCTAATTTTTGTTCTTTGAGGAATCTCCATACTGTTTTCCATAGAAGTTATAATAATTTGCAGTCCCACCTTTTTCAATAGTTTTTAAGGCAACATATTTATATGGTGGTCGTTAATGAGTATAAGAGTAAATAGGATGAGAAACCAAGCTCACAGACCTCTTACAGAAAGCACTGCGCTTTATTTTGTTTTTTATTTCCTCACTAGCCGTTGCCGTGGCCTGGCAGCACCTTGGCTTGGAGTGGACAGAGATGCTCCTTTCCTCTGTGGTGTTCTGCAATCTCCTGATCTCATTTGACCTACACTACTATACCCCATCTGAGGACTCACACTTCATGTATTACCCAGGGACTAAATAAACATTGTGCACATTCATTGTTCACTTGCATGCAGATATTGTTGGTTAAGTAAAATAATAATCATTTTAAGTGTTATTAAATTTCTAGTGATTGTTTTGGCCATTAAAAATGTTTCAAAACAACAGATACTGAAAGCGTGACTTCCTTCATGTAGGACTCAACAGTATTTTTGACACTGAAGAAAAGGTGACCTCTGCCACAGACTGAACGTTTGTGTCTGTCCCCCTCCCAGAAGCACATACGTTGAAACCTCACCTCCAATGGAGGGCGTTTGAGGTGGGGCCTTTGGGATGCCATTAGTCACACGGGCAGGGCCCTCTTGAATGGGATCGCTGCTTTTACGCGGGAGACCCGGAGAACGCCTGGCTCCTTTCACCATGTGAGGACACAGTGGAAAGGCGCCATCTGTCAACCAGGAAGCCGGCCCTTACCAGACACCAGATCTGCTGGCATCCTGATCTTGGACTTCCAGCATCCAGAACCGTGAGAAATGAATTTGTTTTTATCAGCCACCCGGTCTTCCCAGGAGCGGTTTCCGTCCGAGTTGCTCCCGGGCCTGCGCTGCCTGCTAGACGGCGCGAACTTGCGGCGCAGGCCCGGGTGGGCGAGGGGGGCGCTGGGCTAGCAGCCAGCTGGGGGAAGACCTGGTTTGTCCTCTGCGGCTCGTCAGCCGGTGCCCTTGGGCCAGCGAGTCCACTTTCAATCTGGGCATCGCAGGGGCCTAAATGCCGGTCCTCCCCTCGTGCAAATGCTGCTGAGGAGGAAATGGGGTCCCGGCCCTGTTGGCGAGCGGACCAGCTTCTGAGACCAGAATAAATCGTGGGGAACACATTCTGGGGCATGTTTGGCTGAAGTCCTGAGACGGTAGAGGTGAAGAACCTAGGCCAGGGTTTGAATGTGACACGTACAGGAAACCTCTCAGAGCGCGAGCGCCGGTGGCTGAGCCCCCGCAGCCGTCAGGAAGGTGCGCCCCCGTTTTCCCTGCGAGTGCTCCGCGGATCTCGGAACCGATGTGAGAAGTGCGTGGCTGAGACAGAGACTTGCAGCTAGCTGGAAACCAGCTGGACTGCTCTTAAACACTCCTGGCCTTCCTCATTCCTCCTTCTATGCTTGGTCCATTAATACCACGCTTTTATTTTCTCCTCTCTTAGAAGTCACTAGAAAACCCACACATGGATATATATACACACACTTATTTTACTAAAGAATAACTGTTTTGTTTTGAGTGTTAATGGCAAGGGATATACAACATAAAGAAAATAGGAGAAAAAAAACATTAAAATTTCAGTTTCAGTTTAGTTTTATGTCACCCTTTAAATTTTCCTATTTTTGCTTGTTTTATAATATAAATAATGATGTAACAGTTTGTGTATACGATTTATAAATCAATGTGCATATATCGAGAATATGTGCTTAACACATTTTTTTAATGGTAGGGTGTAAGATCAAAAAAAATTGGAGACCAATGTTCTGGAACACATCTCATTTTATTTAGGTAGACATGTTGTCTAAAGGTCCTTAGTGTTACCCTGGGAAGGTTATAGGGTTAGCAGCGCTGTGAGTCTAATTCCTTGCAACAAACATCAAGGACTTCCCAGGTCTCATTCTTTTTCATTGTAAAATAGAGGAAATGAAAACAAGCTACCTAACAGTGAAGCAATTTGAGGCAAGTTTCTTCCTTGGGAAGAAAAAAAGACCTTAAAGTCTGCATGGGCCATAAAATCCTGGCCTGGGACCCGAAGGCAGCAGGGCTCTCATTCTCTGTCGGAGTATCAGAAGGTCGGCCACCTAGGTCTGAAGTGCTTGGGGGAGGCACCAGGGTTAAGTCTCGTGGCCAAGTCTGGATGGACCGTTTGTTTTGTTGTGATCCTTGGACAGAGATTGTGGCCTTGGCTGTCATTTTATAAAACCCTTTTAGGCTGGAGGAAGGTTTAAATAACATTAAAAAAATCACTGCAAACATCGTCAACAACAATGAAAAACCACATTGATTTTGTACCTTCCGCTGTGCTGCAGTATGTACATTTGAAAACTTCTTGATGGTGCAAGAGATAAATAGAAAACTTCCCCTGGGAAAATCCTTTGACTTAACGCGGGGTAAATAAGAAACGTCCTCAGTTCTAAGAGAAGAAGGCACAATTTATTTAGTCAAATTATTTTACAACATAGTCTTCATTGACAGTTGTCAGCTTAACACTTCATATAGTTAAAAAAGTCAACGATTACCTGCAAAATTATATATATTTTAATGTCTAAAAAATATATTGCATATATAGAGCAGGAAAATCCCTCATCTCCACAAGGGAAAGTTTGGTTCTTTTCTTTTCAGAGTTATGATTATTGCAGTACTTTTATTTACAAACATTTCCAAAGCATTGAAGATTTAAATGGTTTGCCTTTCCTTGCTTATGCACGCCTGTTAAATAACTGTACCAGTGCTTCTCTTTCTCGTAAGTCAGTGACTTAAACGCCCTGTTTTCTTTTCAGCAATAGTCACATTATGCTTTTTAAAAACCAGCTATAAAAACGTACAAACAGCCCAAATGTACAGATTGACAAAAGATGTACAAATTACATTTAAAAAAATAACAACGACTGATCTGATAGTAAAATTGCATTTGTGACCGAGGTCAACTCGTTTATTTATTCTTTTTAATTTTTTAATTATTTACTTCAATACTGTGAGATATAGGAAAATAACTCTGCATAATTTATACAGTAAGTTGCCTTCTGATTGGTTGACCCTGGTCTGGTGGCCTGACAAACGCACAGCGTTTGCGAATCTGTCTGAGTTTAGAAATCCCTGCGACTCTTCTAAGTTCTGGGACCCACTGTCATCATTAAAAAAAAAGTTACTTAATTCTCTGTCTTTCAGGAATGTCTGTATTTGCATTAAAATTTCTTAGTTTATATCTTGACTATTTCAGCCGAGTGCATACTGCCCACAGAGGGGGTTCTGCAATGCCCATGGCTTCTTAAATACTCACAAACGTTCTTTCTTTTAAATTCCAGTTGGGTGAAAACTTCACTGGCCTTACAACCAGTGTTCCAGTTGCCATCCACTGAATTAGGTCCTCCTAAAATAAGATTATAAGCTTCTATTTTCAATAAGTCTCAAACCAGAACATGACTGGTTAAGTCCATGAACCCTACAATGATGAGACCCGTGTGTTGACGAGAAACTGCTTAGGTCATAAAAACATAAAGAAAATGCATAGCTTCTTGCTCAGAACCATGACATAACCATTCCAGTAATCTAAATATTCAACTCACAAGATGATAGGCGACTGAGAACACACACTGGCGTACTGGCCCATTTCTTGGTTCAGGTAGAGGAAGCAAAAAGTTACCAACATTACAAAAATTGTTTTTAAAGAACAAATACAAAGGTTCTATCCAACAAGGAAGAACATCCAGTTTTGTTTCCTCTTCAAGGCCACACATGTCCTTTAGAGTCCAAAGTATCCAGGAAGTGCGAGGGACAGGGCTTCGGCTGGAAGGCCACCGATGGTGAAGCTTCTAGTAGTAGCTGCCTAGGTGTGAAGGCACGTGGGTGTTAGGGTGGCGGGGGACATTGGGGTTGGGGTAGATTCCACCAGTGGGGGAGGTCCAGTATTGGGACGCCGCTCCAAAGAAGCTGGAAGATGTGACAGGCATGGAGGAGGGGTGGGGAGGGACAAAGTTCACCTTCTGTTGGTGGGCATGGTAGGAAGGCATGTAGGAGATGTCAGAAGGGTACTTGTACATGGACGGCTCGGTCGGATGCGGCTGCAGAGCCTGGGCAATGCCGTGGAAGTCAAATTTGTAGGCATACCTTTTGCCATGCACTTTGGTCATAATGTTTTTATCGTAGTAATATCGGAGGGCCCGGCTCAGCTTGTCGTAATTCATGTTGGGCTTGCTTTTCCGCTCCCCCCAGCGCCTGGCCACCTCATCGGGGTCCGTCATTTTGAACTCCCCGTTGGTCCCCTCCCAGGTGATACAGCTGGCGTTGGCACTGTCCGAGAGCAGCTCAAGGAGGAATTGCCACAGCTGGATCTGCCCGCTTCCTGAAGGCGGGAGGCAAAGAGCAGAAAACAGAGTATCTCAGCCTGGAGAAGCCAGAACCCAGATCCCTAACTGCAGGGGCTTCTCGTTCTTTGTGAGAAACCCTGTGTTTCCTTTTACGTTCAATGGACTTGACAGCCCCTTCTGATCTTTGTTGGTTTGCTTTTCTGCTTGCCGCTGAGATGGGCGTAATAAGCAAGGTCAGGTCTTAAGACAATTTGCCCCAAGGCCTGGTGAACGGAATGTGGGTGATGAGGCGCTGGGTTTGCCCAGAATGAGCTGCGTGATCTTGGGTGAGGCACCCCACCCCTACCCCTTGGGGCAAGATTTTTGAACCTCTTCTATAAAGGCCCACATCACTGTCTAATCTCTACTTAGTGATGAATCCCGTCAGCATGAGGAAGAGTCAGGGTCACGAAACGGCTGTCAGAGTCACGGGGAGAAGGCCCGTCCTGAGCTTTAGGGCAGCTGGACCTGGCTTGTTCTTTGGCAGAGCCCTAGAGCTTGGCTCTCAGCTCTGAGTTCTGCCGAGAACTTGGGCAGAGAGAAAAGTAGCAAGAGAAGATGCTGGGTGGCTTCTTTTTCCTCTGGGCAGGAATGGCCGGGCGCTAAGGAACAGGTGGGGGACCTCCCTGGACGGGAGGACGTGTGGGCCTCACTCTGGCAAATGCCTAGCAGCTCACAACCCCAGCGGTCTTCATTTAGAAGAGCTCACTCGAGAGTTATTTTTAATAATAAATCCTTAAAATGCATTGTCAAATTACTGTAAGTGGAATTCCCCTCTTTTATAAGGCCAGAAAACTCTACCATACTTTCTAAAATCAAGAATAAAAACATTTAGAACATTTATTTGCCTGTGCCTTGCATGGGGAGATGACTGAGCTCACTGGAGTTGTTTCCTTTTCTTTTTTCCATCTTTCCCTACTGGGACTTCTACCTGTGCCATTTATTACCGATCTGCGCCTCAGTGCAGGCACGCGGCACTAGTGTTTGCATCCTAGGGCATCCTCACCAAGGGATTCTGCCCCGAAGGACAAGCCCTGACCGCTCGTCTGCGTGCTACAGAAGCAGATCTTGAACATTTTAAGAAAAAGTACATGTTACTCCCAGTCAGGTGTCTGGACTTAGGACAGGGGTCTCTGTGGCCTCACAAAGCTACATGCTGGAAAGAAAGGCTTGCAGGCCAGGGAAACTCACCAGGGTTGGCTAGGCGACTGCTGGTTGGGCCCAGGATCTGATATGGATCTAGGGAAACAAAAAAGGAAATTTGCTTCAGTGTTATTAAAAATACAACAATAGCATCAACGATAAGCAAACCCAAAGGGTTTATACTTTTATTGCAATAGCATTGAAAAGACTGATTTCAGAAAACTTTACTGCTTTTAATTTGCAGAACTCAAAGACCCTAACAGTTATGGTTTCATCTCAATAATTACAGAAAAAACATGGAATAGCCACATCATCACTTTTTCATATTTGGTGTCTAAAATTTGTAGATTATGCTATCATTACCCAAAAGAAAATAAGAAAACATTTGGAAAAGAGCTGTCTAATATTTAATCATACAACAAGTAAGTGGCGGGATGGCTTATTCAATGGGCTTAAGGAAGGTCTCATGGTTTCTGGTCTTAGCTCCACCTAATACTGACGAGAGTACAAATCTCTGATATAGCATGAAAAACACATGCCGGGAATCCAAGCAGCCGGGTTCTAGCCCCAGCTGTGTTATAAACAAATAACTTGTTGGACAATTTCTGGGTATCAGTTTTCTCATCTGCAAAATGAATGGGTTTGGCTACTGACTTCCTCAGTTCCCCTTCTAGTATAACTGTGATTTTTTTTTTTTTTGAGACAGAGTCTCACTGTGTTGCCCTGGCTAGAGTGAGTGCCCTGGCGTCAGCCTAGCTCACAGCAACCTCAAACTCCTGGGCTCAAGCGATCCTCCTGCCTCAGCCTCCCGAGTAGCTGGGACTACAGGCATGCGCCACCATGCCCGGCTAATTTTTTCTATATATTTTTAGTTGTCCAATTAATTTCTTTCTAATTTTAGTAGAGACGGGGTCTCGCTCTTGCTCAGGATGGTTTCGAACTCCTGAGCTCAAACAATCCGCCCGCCTCGGCCTCCCAGAGAGCTAGGATTACAGGCGTGAGCCACCGCGCCTGGCCTAACTCTGTGATTTTAAGCTTAGACATGTCGACGCTAATCAGAATTTGTATTTTAGCTGTAAAATGACTATTCTTAAAATCCTGATTTACTTAAAACTTATGTGATTATGTAGCCATAAAAAAACCTTGGCAATATTGGTTCAGGTGAGATTTGTCTTCTTTTTTTTTTTTTTCTTAGCTAAAATCATGGTAGAAAGCTGAATCTCGACTTAGCCATATTGTCACATCTTTTGTATGATTTCACTATTTTTACAATTATAATTGGAATTTTTAAAAAATCAATATGATTTTTTGGTTTCTATTTAGAATCATGAATTAGCTTCAAGCATCCTTAAGGCCATTTAGTCCTTCCTTTCTCATCCACACTTTTAGTATGATAACTAAAATATTTTTGGCAGGTGATGCCTAATTTTGTTGTTGAAGACCCTTTAAAACTCTCTACATCTGACTTGTATTTCACAGTCAGCAAGTTTTTTCTTAACCCTCCTGGTAAAGTGTAGGTTGATTTTCTCTTGGAGAAAACCTTCGAGAAAGATGGAGAACAATGTTGGCCCATCCTGAAGCCGATGGCTTGTTCAGAGCTTAGTCTCAGCTGTGTCACATAAGCAGACAGAGTGGACCTGGGGCTTGGGCACTGCACCTGTCTTCAGACAGACAAAGGACCATTGTATAGAGCAGGAGGACGACTTCTCCAGAGGGCAAAGGAGGAAGCTTGAATGGAAGTTCCAACTGGGGGACTTTGGCTCAGATGGTGGAGTTGAGTCCAGCTAGGTAGGCAACTCCCTCTTTTGCCACAAGTAAGGTAGAGGTGAGGTAGGCACAGGACCAAGATGTTATACAAGGTGTTAGGTGTCACAGACTTAGAAGTCTCTAGGTTCTGCTGCAATATTGATTCTCCAAGTTCACAGCTTTAAAAATTCTTCCGCCTTAATTGTGAAGTCAACCCAATACAGGATGGGCATATTTTTGACAGTAAGTTTTGGTGAAGCATAAAAGGCTTGCACAGGAATTTGGGAGTCTGGGTCATAGCTCTAATTCTCTCATAAACCAGCTGTGTGGCTTTTAGCAAATCCCTTGACCTCTCTCAGCCTCAGTTTCTTTATTTTGCAAAATAAAGCATTGGAACATTTAATCTTTAAGTTTCTTTCACCTCTGATATTTAACAAGTTTCTACCTGATTTCAGTATTTGTTACTTCATTCACAGATCTATTACAGAGAGTCAAATATAGACTCTCCTTGAGAGAAAAAAGAGACAACATATGTGATATATTATTTAAATCCTCTCCCAGTTGCCCATGTGGAATCGGCAGCCGCATGAGACGCAAAGGCGACAGGGCACGTCCTGGACAGGTACCTGGCTGGGGCCGTTGTTCCGTGTTCTTACTTATCGTCTGCGCTCCTCCGAGCGGGGGACCTGTGACAAGAGGAAAAATCACAGTAGGTGGGGCCGTTCTCCACGAGGGGAGAGAAACACCTTGACAAACGCCTTCCAGAAGGAGGACAAATGTGCTTTCTCAATCATTCATTCACCCACTTGCCACTGAGTCATTTATTCATTTTATTTTATAACTATTTATCCAAAGCCCACGGTGCTGGTTCTGCTCTTCATGCTGGAGATTCAGCAATGAACAAGGAGTTCCTGGTAGAACTTATATTTTAATGGGGAAGACACTGATAGACAAATTTTTAAAAAGCAAATCAATAGTACAGCTTATCTGACGGTATCGGGGCTGCGGATTTCAGTTTTAAATAGGACATTTAGAGAGGTAACGTAATGAGAAGATGACATTTGAGCAAAGGTCACCTGCTTCCTGTGTCCCCGTGTTTTGTGAGCTCCCCTCCATGCTGTTAAGTATCTCCCACACCTCCCTTCCTTCCCTGTCGCTGTTTCTGCACTGTAGGTGTGCGTGGCTTCTTGCGTGGTCTGACAGGTGTTGTCACCACTCTTCTCTCTTCCCCCGACCCATCATACACTCCTCCACTCAAAAACCTTAGTGACTCCTTGTCACCTAAAGAATTAACGTCTGTCTTCATGGCATCATTCCCAGCTCCTTTCTTACCTTTCCAGACTTTTTTTCCATCACACATCCTGGACTCCAGGAACCTGGGGTCCTCACTGACTACCCGACAAGCCAAGCTTGACGTCTTCCCTCACCCCAGCTCTACTGGAAGTGTCTGGCCTCCCATCTCCACGAGCCCAAATCCTGCCTCTCCTTCCAGAGCTAGCCCAAACGCTGCCAGGTCCACAAAGCCTTCCTTGGCACACCCAGATGAGAAGAGTTACTCGCGTGCGTGAATTCCCTCCCCTGCTTTCGAGGCTGTTCCATGTCTGATGCATCTGTGTTAATTCCATAGTGCACAGTGCTGTGCGCAGAGTAAACAAATAATTAACACTAAAATTGAAAGTGATCCTGGTTATTACTTGGGCATTAATTTGTAATCCCAATCTGTTTCTTGAAATACTTCCCTTCTTCACTCATTCGTGTGCATATTTTATTTCCTAGAGGCAGCAAGACTGACCACGCTGGCCCGGGAGAGCATGAGTCCGTGAGTCATTCTCTTCCCTTATTCCCTTAATAGGAGGCACTGGGTAGACTTCAACACAGCATCACCTAGCCCCTCGGTGGGCAAACTGGTGTCTCCTACCATCTGCTCGTCAGGCTGTCTCCATCCCAGTCTCTCCTGGAATGGGGACCGGGGATTGGCAGGACTGAGCCTCAACAGTCAGAGGGGGCAGGTCAGAGCGGGTCACTGTGCTGCCTTAAAGAACAGACTCCAACCCAGCGACCTTTCATTCATACAGAACCTTGTCCCAAGAAACCTTCACCTTCAAAAACTCTAAACCAAGTGCGATGAGATGAGACTCAAAGGTCTACATGAAAATCGCATGCCATCCTTCAAGGGGTGGGTATCACAGACAGGCCCTAAATTGGCAACTAATTTTGATGTCTGCTCACAAAGCAGGGAAACAGTTGCTTGCTCCTGTCCCCTTTCATCTCAGGGCCCTGCCCTCGACCCCAGTCCTCAGGAACGAATTTCCTCCCAAAGACTGGGGCGACAGTCACTTACTTTTGTTGAGGCCGGAATTCATGTTGTTGCTCCATGCTCCTCTCCTGACCGAGTCGTAGGAAGGGTCTAGTGAGAAACAACAAGTAAGTGTTAGCATCGCCACTTTCAGCAAGGTCAGTGAGGGTCATCTCCCGGTGATCAGGAGAGGTTAGGTTTAATTCAGCAATGACTTCGGAAGCATCACTACGCCCCAGAAGCACACTCTTCCCTGGGCGGGGCTGGGGTGCGATGGAGCGGTACCACTGACTTTGAGAAGCTCCCTGTCTTACTTAGGAGCCGAGGAAATGGGAAGAGCCTGAATTTGAAGTCAAAGGATTGGTTCAAATCCTGTCCCTGCCACTGCTTGTCGTGAGACTTTGGACGAATCTTAGCACTCCTCTGGGCCTCAATCTTTTTAATATGGAAATAAAAATGGACATGAATCATTTACCTTATGGGGTTGTGGTAATGATTAAATGAGATAACATATATACAGCACCTTATAAAGCTTTCTACAAATATAAACTAACACAAAGTAAGAAAGAAAAAAATGTCCACGGCTGTGTAGCAAAACCCCTCCTCGGAGCCCCCTCCAGCCCCGCTTTCAGCACGCGGGGGGTGGCTGCTGTCTCAGAGCAGCCGGCACGTTCCGGGCTCTCGGGGGCACTCAGGCTTCCCCGTTGACAGTGAGGAGGGCTGGCCCCGACGGCCACAGAGAAAGGGAAGAGGCCGGAGGAGTCACTGGAAACGAGCTGATGGACACACGCTTCCTGCCTGGGGGACACGAGGTGTGCTTCCAGACCGTCCTGAGAATACCGCATGGCACATAAACTTCTGTACTCCCCCCTTCCTTCCTGAAAGATCCACATGCCTCCGTAACCGTGTTCAGAGATTGCTCAACTAACTGGCTGGAAACTTCCCTCATTTCCTTTCGGTGGTGTGAGTCCCGTTGAGACATAGAGCAGGAACAGCAGAAGAGCTTAAGGATGCAGAATTATGACTTTCAAAGTCTTTCCACGAACAACAAAGAAACCATAAAAGCAATCCGAATAAATGGAGCGCAAACCTCATCAAACAGCAGCCTGACCGGGGAAACGCAAACCATTCCCTCCGACCCCTTCTGAGCCCCTCAGACAAACCAGGATACGACCTCGGAAGACGGACAGACACGTCCCATTGTCTGGTCTTATTGTTTCTGGCTACGAAGAACCAACAGCAAAGACAGTTTTCTTGTGGAAAAACCCACGTGCGGACACACATTCCTCATGCCCCTGGAAAGGTCAGTCCAGTTTCTAAATTACAGTCTTCAGCAATTGGCATGCAAAGCATAGCAGAAAGCGAGGGGTGTGGATGGGAAGAAGGGCGGGGCCGGACGGAAGAGCGAGACCAAGCTCAATGCCTTTAAGGCGTCTGCTTTTATTTTTGACTTTTTTTTTTCTTTCACAATTTCTCCTGTAAATAGACTCTTCTTCTTGTTTAAAAAACAAACCACACAAATGAAAAACCAACTTGTGCGCAAGCTTGGCATGAGGTCGAAAGCTCCGAGGGGCATCTTCCGCAAGGTGAGTGCAATGTTGGCATCAGCGAAAGCAAAGGTGAGATTCGGCAAGAAGTTTTCTTTGCGCGGGAGGAAGCCGCTGGTTAGGCCTCCAGTGATTTATCTGGCACCAACTTGGGCGCTCTCGTGTCTGCTTGGCCGCAGCGAGGATGTGGAATGGTAGGAAAGGAGTTCCCTGTCCTCGCATGGAAGTAATATGAGGAGACGGGATGGTGAGGAGATGCCGCTCACGTGCCAAGGCACGGCGGAGGCGTTAGGGCTGCTGGAGGTTAGGGAGGGGAAGGGGAGTAGGACGGGGGCTGGAGAGGCCACCTGGGGCTGTGTGCCTTGAGTGAGCGCTCTCTGGAGAGCGGGTGCACAAGGCAGGCAGGAGCGAGGCAGAGGCAGGGGGCGAGATGTCAAGGTGATGTCGAGGGACACGCAGGGCTGGAGCTGACTGACTGGAGGGATGCGGAGGGAGAGCAGAGACGTGTTCACGGTGTGCTGACGGCAGCTCAGCAAGTTTTGTGACTTGGGGTTCCAGGCAGTGGAAAGAGGTTTAGGGCTCTAAACCTAAGGAGAACAGGCATGGAGAGGGATGAGCTTGCAGTGGTGTGGGGGATGGATCGTTCTAGTAGGAACAGAAAAGAAAGTGGAGTTGACAGTGACAAATTCAAGTAAAAAGAAAACAATCCACTAGGTTCCAGAAATCCGTATATGTCAACTGAAGTTCTGCCTTGACTTCTGACTTGCTACACCTATAAAATCTCTGCTCAGATTTTTCTACTTTCAATCATTAGTCTACCGAAGGCTTCAGTCCTATCTGAAAGCCACCTTGTGACCATCCAGAAGAACCATTCCTTTTAAAGCCCAAATTATGGCCACAGCCACAGTTACCATTTTCTTCCTTTTGTTCTAGTGCCAGGGACAGGGCAGGCATGCAAAGTCCCAGAAGGCACGCATGAACTCCCTCTCCCCAACAGCGGGTGGTGATCACTGGATCTTTCTGCGACTCCAAGGAACCAGTCCTGGTCTGAAGCCGGCGCCCGGTCAGAGCAGTGGCGCGGCAGCCCCACCTTCTCTGCGGTGCCCGGCCCGCGGAGAGACGCAGAGCTTCTTGGGGAAGTTCTCCCACAGGCCTGTCTCGTGGCAGAAGGCTGGCTGAAGGGACCTTGGACGTCCCAACCAACCCTCTGCGTCTCCCGTGGGTGAAACAGCAAGTGACAGAAACAGAAGGGCCACCCAGCAATCAGCCTGAACTACGTTCTCACCGTGGAATTACAAGAGCCATAAACGGCAACGGGCCGTGCCGTACGCTGGCACCTCAGCCCATGTCCGAGCAGAACGTGGGGACAGATCACAGGACCACAGGCCTCCCTGCCCTGGGCCTTCGCATTCCCAGATCTTTGCGTGGAATCCCCCCGCTGGCACCTGAATCCCCAGAGGACAGCCTGGGCCATTTGCTACGGAGTTTAACAAATGCCTTCTGTGGGCTCTGGGGTTCTAGGGGACATCTACTCAACGTAAGGTTTAGATTAAAACCAGTGTTTTTGGAGTGATTCCTGCTCCAAAGACAAATAATGCCGATGCAGAAGCAAAGGCCAAGAACGAAGGTCTGGATTCTGCCTCAGAGGTCCGAGAAGGGGGGCGGCCGTGCAGTGAGCGAGGTGCCCGGCGAGCGCCCCCCAGTGCCTAGTGCAGAGCCGGCCTCAGGTGGGGTCAGCAATCGATACCGCGATGGAGCGTCATTGCTGGGGGCCGGAAAACACTTAGGCCCAGAAAGGTGGTGGCAGCCTCCCCGCCCACATTCCCTTCCTCCTGCCCCCCCACCCCCGCTCCTCCCTCTGTTGCTTAATTTTCCACTTATCACCTGACCCAATCGATCATCAATTCACGTTTGCTGTTCGCTGCATTCCCCACCTGAGCGCCGGGTCCACACGGGCAGGACCTTCGTGTTCTCTGACGTGACCCGGCGCCCAGAGCGGTGCCCGGCCCAGAGTGAGCGCACCGTGTTTGTTCAACGAATGAGTGAGCGCGGCCAGTGTCTCCTCCCTCTCGCTGTCCATAAGTCACACAGTTCTTGTTGTTTAGTATTAGATACATCACTGGCTGGCGAGAATGCGGGGCTCCTCCCCTCCCTGCTCTCCACTAAACTCCGTCTCCAGGCTTAAGATTTGAGTCTGGGTGACGAGCACAGACTACGTCAGCCCGTGTCCCCTCTGAGTGTAAGGCACTACCGTCCACCCGTTCATGGGGCGTCGTAGGCTAAAAGCTTGTTCTCGCAGGGAAGTCCGGGACTGGACGCCACTCACTGAAGTGGCCTCCATGCTATTTATGTGTTTTTAACAATGCCATTGTGGAAATGAGGGTTCATTTTATTCCTACTAAAAATCACGCAAGTGAAAACTTAGCAGTGTGGTCGGCTCTAGCACAGACACACAAACAGAGACATGTCTATAAGCAAATCGGAAAATCCTGGACCAGGGAGCGAGCGCAGAGGCTCACATTCCTGCACAAACACGGTCCCTCCTGGAGCCCGCACTGGCCCGTGTCAGGGCCCGGCTGCCGGTCAGGCCAGCGCATGGGTAGGTTCTTGGCAGGGGGCGCCCGCTTCGAGAAGCAGCCCGAGTGTGAGCCAGGCCCTCCCGAGTGAGGAGCGTGGACTCTCCTTCCCGAGAGCAGATTTCTGGAAACACAAGCTTGAGGCGGCAGCCAGAGGCACGACGTGCAAAAAGACGGCCTCTGGGACCAGCGCGCGAGCGGACGCCCCAGCACTTCCCTGTGGAGGCAGACGGCTTCGTCAGCAGAAAAATCACACCCCAGTTCTGACGAGCTCACTTTTTGCTTTGGTGAAGGCTGACGCCCCTGGCTTACGGATACCAAGAGGACAGATCTTACTGTGGTTCCTCTCCAGAGGAGTCACCAAAAGCGCTTCGCCTGGAGTGTCTGGTTTCGGGCAGTCCAGAGATCAACTTTTGCCAAAGCAAAGAGACCTGACCCTGTTCTGAAGAATCGGGCCTTGCCAGCCATTGTGGGCGATCCGGCCCCACATATATGCTGCCCTAACAGCATCTCCATTGTGCGGTGCTCAGCGTGGCTGAACTTGACACGAAACGGCCCCTTAGATTCCAGGAGGGCCTCCTGGGGTAGAGAAATATGAGCACGGAGATGTTTTTTTCTGCAAGTCCCTGTTGGAAGGGGAAAGCTTTTTCTGGACATGACCCTCTCATAGACATACCAGTGTTAACTCAGTTTCTGTGTGAAGCTTTTAAACTGGTTCTGGAAATATGGCCAAACGTCTCAGGAAAGATCTTTCTTTCTGCTCTGCCGCCTGCAGTTAGCATCCGGCCAACACGCCGCACTCCACTTTGCTATGACCTCGCCCCGAGGCCAGCGACACGGCACCACCGGCCCACAAAAGCCTCTCTCTTCATCCCCTATGACATAAAACCTTGCTCTCAAGGACTTGGTGGAAAAGATGAATTTTCCCTGAAACCTCTCACTGAATGTCTGGCTGCTGCTGAGAAGCCTGCGGCACCGGCCCCGTGCA